TGGTTCATCAGCATAGTCAGATGTATGCTCGAACTTGCGCAATCGGAGTGCTGGGTATAACATAATGTGGTTATATAACATGCTGGTTATAATATGTATGTAAAAGGGGTGAGACAGTGGTCATCAAATCTTGCTGTCCGAGAACAGAGGTTACTTTTGCTGTCCTAATTACTTTGAGCCATCACTGCCGGTTCTATGCATAGGCGAGCACATACAGAAACACACAGACTCACATTCTTCGAGGTTGACATATGACTGTAACTAACCAAATCACTCTATACCTCCTCAAATAGACCAGGTATAGAGTATATTTTAAGGATTTGCTGGTTAGTTTTCTTTGTTCTAACAATCGTATCTATTTTCATTTTAGTTAATAGTTCATTTCTCTCATTTTTACTCTTCCTTTTTCGCTTTCGCTTTCGCTTTACTTACCTTATCTCACTCTTTTCTTCTTTGCCTCACTCCTCTAGTCTTCAGGCAGGCATATTTACACTCTGGAGTAATGTGGCGCGTAATCTAAATGACCATCTTAGTCCTGAATGCCAGGATACCACAATGAAGCTTGTTGAGGCGACTGGGGGAAGGGCTGATCCCAATTTCAGGTTGCCCGTCTCCGACCCAAAAGGGGCATGTAAGTTCGTGAAGACTTCGCGGCTGATGACAAACCATCTGGAAGGCAATCGAGAGCCGAAGCTTTACAATGCGCTCGAGAAACTGGCCGCCTGCAGCTTCGTCCCAACCGGTGATTATCTACCTATCGTTCTGTCCAATTGTCTGTCTGTTTGTACCTTATTTATTTTGTCTTTCTTTTTGACTATTACTAGATCTCTCTGTTTGTTTATCTCATTAACTTCATTTGCACGCCTGCATGTACGTTTATCTGTTTGTCCCTATATCTGTATGAATGTTCGTCTATTCATCTGCATGTCTGTTTTTCACACTTTAACGCCTGTCTGCAGATCGGTCTGCTACAACCTGCCTGTATGCTTATTTCTATGCCTATTTCCATATATCCCTATTACGTATGTTACAATATCACCGGTAGAACTTGTGGTAGAAACTGTGTTAACCCATGGTCGCATAAAGTGAATACAGACCGATAGATTTTTCTCACAATGAGAAGATGCAATTTAGCTCACTTCAACTTGCCTCAAAAAGTATTCTTATCCTAGCAGAATTGGACCGGATTTGACTGCAGTTATTATTTTACCTGGGTCTCATCATCAACAACACAGCGGGAATCGAACCAGGGCAGTGTAGAGACTATGTTTGACAGGTTGCCATAACGCTACTCTTCCAAAAGAACCAGTAGATATCCGGTAGAGGGGTGAAATTCAAGAAAGGTTACACATCTTCAGAGCAATATTTATAGTCGGAATGTGGATAAGACAAATGCTGAAATGCATAGAATATATTCCTAATGGGTGCAAAGATTCACACAAGCGGAGTCTAAAATAGAGTAAATCCTGAGTGAAAATTAAATATAAGAGGATAGAGAAAGGTAAATTTCGTGGCGTAGATTGGGCTAGTGATATAATTGTGTAAAAATACATAATTTATTATTTGTTAGCTAATACGGTCTTTATTTCATCTCATCTTGCTATTGAGAAATTATATCCCGACTTTGATTAGAGAACTACTAGCACTTGAATTATTATTATTTTTATTATATTAATAAATATCCTTTATTCCCCTATAATTTAATTATTTTATATAGTAAATGACCTGTTATACTCGCTTCATTTGCAGTTTTGACCTCCCTTTGGAATTTATCCGAACTCCCCACTATATTCGAATGCTTTTCTTAAGTGGCACACCCAACGATACCACTTCTGTTATAAAATCAGGGAGAAAATATGCCACCAAGCCCTCTGTACTATTCCAACTTAACAGTTTATAAGGACTGTTTCATTTACAATAACAATCGACATTACTATACCTCAGATTAATAGGTTTCAATGCTTTCAATAGAAATATTGATAAGAATTTGCGACACCTTCGTTTATTTAGACTTTGAAAAATTTTTAAGCCCCATAGATTATATTTAGTTTGTATATTCATTAAATGATACCTAGTATTTTGAAGAAACCAGGATTTTTCATTTTAATGAAAGTTTGGTTCAAAAAGATTGTTAAATTGCGAGGTCGAAACTGCAGTCAACTTCAGCCTGGATGAGAACAACTTTTGGGAAAGCAAGACAATGTGAAATTGAGTGGAAACATCAGCTCTACTCATATCATTGTGGGAAAATTCTACTACCAGTCCTTCATCACCTTAAACGAAATAGGGTGAATGCATCTCATATTACTGATGCATACATACATACATACATACGAAGAGATGTAAGAGACTTTTCTCCTGGTACCTTCTATTCATGATTTTAGTTCTTTTAAGAACTATGATCATCCTAGTTAATTTAAGCTGGTGAAAGACTGGTAGTTGAATTTTTCCATAAGCATATGAATAGACTTTACGCTTCAATTGAATTTCACATAAACTTGCTTCCTAAAAGTTATTCACATCAAAGCACGAATGTACTATAGTTTCGATTTTGCCTTGGTCTCATCAGCACCCCAAGCTGGACACTAAACCAGATGTTGGTAATGCAGCGTTTAATCTCGAATTGTTGACCACTACGCCAGGCTGCCAAGAGCGTCCTAGAGCTACAGGGCAGGAGTGAAGTTTAAGGGCGACTAGGCCATTCTTGTGTCACTTTCTGTTGGGAATTGGCGATGAAACAACGTTGTTTTTGCTATCACAATCCACTACATCACCATTTTTAAGTAGGGCTTTTATTAAAAATTTACCAGTAGTCGCGGCACCCTTTTTAAAAGTGAAAATATTGTGTGTTTTGCCTATTTCTATAAACTTCATATTTTTTTAATATGAAGTTACTGTCCGTTAGTTTATATGAATGTTTGCTCTTATAAATATCTAGTAATAGGTCCTTATCTATCTGCTTCTCATATTCCATCCATTATATGCCTAAAATTTTCATTTTTCCCTTCTCTTTACAGAGTCCTCACAGTCTCTGATTGATATGAAAGAGACCAACCAGTTGACTTCTGCAATCAGCTCCTGGCTGGTAAGCGCCCAAACCCCTTATATTCGCTTCTCAAAAATATTTATCTAATATATATATATATAGATATACTTATTTATATTAATGTTTATATTTATATATTCAATCGAAATCGAAGGAAGATATCTCAAGGATAAAAGATTACGAAATCATTTCGCAATATCTTTAGTCGTCCTGAATGTTGCCATCTTCTCACTTTAAATATCTCCTCTTTATGAAGCAACAAGCTGCACATGCTTATTTGTACTGATGAGAATAATAT